TGAAAATGCCTTGCTTTGTTGTTAGCCTTACAGCATTTTGATGTTTATCTGAATGTTACATTGCATCCAATTCTTGTATATACAGATCACAACCCCCTGACATTTTTGCATAAATTGTCAAACAAGAATCAAAGACTGACTAGATGGAGTTTGTTGTTACAAGAATACAACATAACAATTAGGCATATCAAAGGCAAAGACAATGTTATTGCAGATGCCTTGTCCAGAGTATCATGAACAAATTAGATTTTGTATTAATGTACATATGTTTTAACAAGATAAGTTTTCATTGACATTCAAACTTTTTAAGGGGGGAGGTGTTGTGAGGTGTGTTGTATTTGTATTGTTTCATCGTGTCTATTATTAGTAACATTACGTTTCTTGAACATTCCAGAGTGGTCAACATGTTCGGTAATCTTCTAGAACATTCTTGAACTTTGTATATCCAGAACTTTCCAGTAATATCATGTACTTACAATTTCTAGAATATTCTAGATTTATGATACTGTATAAATACCCTGTCAATTCGATTCATAGGAGACGATTGTCATACAAGCATCATTGAGGTACGTATTACTGGGATATAATTTCACTGGGACATTGTGTGCAGCAACGGACACTCTGAAGTATGTATTTTTAGATTTTTGCTAAGTTTGTACTTAATGATTTGTATATTACTGTAAATAAATTATTGTTAAGTTTAAACTGTGTGATTGATCTTTGCTGGCATTTAGGGTTATTCTGACCCATAACACAGTATTTTTTGTATATTTTGTCGGAATGCTTCACACAGATCTCTTGAATTGGGATGCAATCATATTTCTCGCGGTAAATCACAACATCATGGTATATGGTATCTAGATCAATAACATGTTTCTCTTTACACTGTAGACACAGGTCATGTTTACAGGTGTTACAGTAGAATTCTGTGCCATCTTTACATCGAGAACATTGCCGTACTTTACACTGGGTGCTGAATCCAAGCACGTCCATTAATCGGTGATATATGTCTCTAAAGCACACTGCTCTGAAAATTGAATTTCATATTAGACAGAAAAGTCAAGGTAATTTATTTTATTTCAATTTGCTCATATAAAACCCTTAATTTTAAAAATAATAATAAATGAGATTGTTGCAAGCAACATTAATGTCTTCCGTCCGATTTGCTGATAGGATGAGATGTGATTTTGACAAAGATATTAGTTAAAAAAATGAAATAGAGATGCCCTTCCTTAGATTTTTTCCATTGATTTACGCAACATTATATCCAAATTCTTTTTGTTCATTACTGCTTATTGAAATTTTCCCCTTTCGGGATATAAAGTCAAGAATGTGCTCCCTTATAATCCCTAAATAACCTCTAAGTAATTACAAGATTTACAAAATATTGTTTCATATGATATATTAAGCACTTTTGTTTTAGTAATGCAAAGCAAAATACGGCCATGATGAGTTAAAATTAAAGACCTTTTGCCCTTCTGAGGCTTAGTTTACAGGTCTAAGCCTCTTTTCCTTTGATATGAAATGAAAGATCATTTGAGTATCAAGATTTTTGTTCAACGACCATTTTTTTCGTTTTCGAGATATCCTATAAAAGAAATATTTAGGGGCCAGCCTTTCAAGTTCTTAATGTGAGCGTTTTGCCAAAATTGAAGGGTTGCACAGGTTTGGAAAAATCTTTTGTTCAACACTATATCTAAAATTAGTACCTCGTTTAGAGATATAAAAAGCATCAAAGACTTAGCTTTTTGGCTCCTTAAAATACCTTTTTAAAGCAGAAGATGATCAATATTTTGAAATATACCATTGTACATTGTTTAAATGAATGCTTTTGATTTAGACCTTTCTGGTCAATTAAGAGTTATAGATTAGACTTTAGCCCCTTAGATCTGAGCTTGTAATGTAAGGGACCATTCCCTTTTCCTTGATGTGAAATGAAAAGTCATGAGAATTTCAAAACATTTTGTTCAACAACTATTCAGAAATTTCTTAATAGATACCTGATATGGCGGTGCTGTGTTTAACACAAATTAAAAGGCAAGGTTGGAATTTAATGGACATTTATCAATAAACAAATAAAAACGTGTCAACAAATAGTTTAATTGTCAATACCAAACAATTAAACACAGTACAAAGTAGAAACCAACACATATTGCAAAAACTATAATAAAATAAATACGGTAGCTACTGAGTATATAGAAGTTACAAAACTAAAATTGTTACTTCTTTTCATGCATAAATATAGAAAATACATAATATACCTATTGAAAATATTATTAATGGAGAAGGAGAAGTAAGAATGTTTTCAAGGTCAAAGGATCAAAATTGTTGGTATCCAATGAAGGGTCTCTCTACAAAGAATACATTATTATGTGAATTATAAATGTTCTGGTATTAACTGTACGGAGATACAGCCATAGTAGAAAGTTTAAAATTTCCATGTAAACGTGGGTCAAACTCCAAGGTCATGGTCAAATTTGATGATACCGAAAGGAAGGTCTATACACATGTGAAATATGAAAGTCATGGCTTCATTAAATCAAAAGTTATATGCAATGTTAAGGTTTTTGCAGACAAACAGAGAGACATCTAGACAAACAGACAGAGGGGCATGACAAAAACTATATACCCTCCGACACTTCATTTACGGGGGCATAATAATATATTGAAAAATTATTTTCGTTCAGAAATGTTGATTTTGTGCGACGTATTATTGGACAGGCGTTAATTTCTTATAAATTTGAGTTATTTAGTTGAAATAATTATAATATATCACTGAATGGGAGATGTTTTAGCTATATAATTATGATAAAGGAGAAAATGAACTTATATTGGTAAATATTGGCACCTATATGGTGTATTTAAAAATAATGACCTGTAAAAAGCTCCATGTCTGTTTGTATCTGATATTTTTATTCTAATGAATCTATGTATACACATACATGTACCATGTATACACTGTGTATTTATTTATTTATTTAGTGGGGATCACAATTACGTATCGAAATGTCTTGTCGGTTTATATATCTGAATAAACACACTCTGTTGTTGCTGAATCCAATCCACAATCGGTGAGTTTTCTCATCATAACTCAGGCTATGTGGAAAGTATTTCACTTGTTGTTTTGTCCATATTTGCGACAGTTGGTTACCATCCTTGTCTAATACATGTATTGTACGGGTGTTTGCATCACACACGAGGATTAGTGAAAACACGTCTGTACATATTCCACATGGCATGATTCCTGACGGTAATGATGATGAAGAACGTCCTGTGTAGGAGAAACGATGTTTTCCTCCACGCTCTGTCACCACTACAGCCTTACGATCCCAATCAGACACAATAATATCGCCATTTCGGTTTTCCGTGATGTAGACTGGTTGACTACATAATTTGTTTTGAATGGTCTGTATGTGTTTTCCTGTGCTGTTGTAACGGTTTACTATGCCCGCCTTTCCTATATCCCAAATGCCAACCAGCAGATCTCCTGTTAATCGTGAGATATATAAGCAAGATGGTTTTCTTGATTCAGTATTCTTTATCAATGTGTTTTTTCTGTAATTTTTGGATAGTTTAATCATGTTACCATCAGCGTCGACATAAATAAGATCACAGGTAGAGGTTACTGCATGATATCCAACAGTTCCAAAAGTATAAACCATATCTGTTATATGACGTAGTTTTTCTCCTTCAATGTTTGTAAGGAACATCTTGATTTCCATCACATCGCTGATCCAGACGCGGTCTAGCTGATGACAGACAGGAAATATGTGTAACTTCACTAACTTCTGTCTCGATCCATTTGAGTAATTTAGGCGCAGGCATAAGTTTTAGCAGACATTCATTTCTAACTTGTCTTTTCCCCGATTCTTTGGTTTGGATTTCACTCAGCAACCTTATCACATCCTTCATGAAGGTTTCCTCCTTCAGTGACAGCATGATATGACGTTTAAGTTTAGGTGTGTCTTTTATTTTGTGAATTCTGGAATTTTTCAGTATTGAGAGAAATTTTACCGATCTGTTTGATGGCTGTTCAGATCTATATTCAAAGTTCTGAATGTCTGCAATGTGTCTTTTTATTTTTCTACTCTGTTTTTGAAATCTATCCATTATATAACCTCTCAATTTGATTTTAGTAAAAATCTTAATATCTATGAGGTCTTTTAATTTCTGAGCTTTTGTTGAAACATCGGAATAAAAATTTATAATTTTCTTCGGAAAAGTTTTCAAATCGGCTTTGATTTCTGCAAGAAGAAAACAGCTGTTATAAAGTGTATCGCCTCTGATACTATGAACGATTTCTTTATATTGTTTTCGGTGTGTTTTATATGCCCTTTTAATATCAAATGTTTTGTGTTTTCTGTGGAATTACACTGGAAACATACCGGAGCATTGCACGTTTTACAGTATACTATAAAAAGCATCAAAGACTTAGCTTTTTGGCTCCTTAAAATACCTTTTTAAAGCAGAAGATGATCAATATTTTGAAATATACCATTGTACATTGTTTAAATGAATGCTTTTGATTTAGACCTTTCTGGTCAATTAAGAGTTATAGATTAGACTTTAGCCCCTTAGATCTGAGCTTGTAATGTAAGGGACCATTCCCTTTTCCTTGATGTGAAATGAAAAGTCATGAGAATTTCAAAACATTTTGTTCAACAACTATTCAGAAATTTCTTAATAGATACCTGATATGGCGGTGCTGTGTTTAACACAAATTAAAAGGCAAGGTTGGAATTTAATGGACATTTATCAATAAACAAATAAAAACGTGTCAACAAATAGTTTAATTGTCAATACCAAACAATTAAACACAGTACAAAGTAGAAACCAACACATATTGCAAAAACTATAATAAAATAAATACGGTAGCTACTGAGTATATAGAAGTTACAAAACTAAAATTGTTACTTCTTTTCATGCATAAATATAGAAAATACATAATATACCTATTGAAAATATTATTAATGGAGAAGGAGAAGTAAGAATGTTTTTTTTTTTACTTATTTAAAAATAAAGAGTGTTTATACAGAACGTACGTATCAAAGCTTACCTCATACGAAATGTACCGAGGATCAAATATTCCAAACAGAGACATAATCATCTATGACAAAGAGCGGGAAATTTATGTATTATAAAAGTTAACTGGATATACATGTACACATTCGTCTCTTTCTGAACTTTTTTTATTCTATTATAATTGTGTTTAAGTACGGAAGAAAATATCGTAGAATAATAAAATAAAATGCGATAGGTACACATACCCGTTACTGATGAATGGCTCCACTTTCGTGATAAATGTCCTTTTATGCAAGCGGAAATAAATTAGACATGTACATGTATTTCTTTGTATTATCAAACTTTAAGATCAAGATCTAGTAAATGAAATGAAAGATGCCTACATATTTATCAAATATGAGAAATGAATTCCTCTAACGATTCTTTATAACTTTAGTTTGGTCAAATAAGGTGCTTTGGGGGATAATTTGTAGGTAAACAAGATGACAAACTATATTTTAAACTGTCATTTTTATTGAAACTTTTTAAGAAAACCAGTCATGAATATGGAAGTTTTTTATGTTTGAAAAAGGAAGTGTATCCAGATTGCCTACAATCTTTCAGAAAACGGTAATTTGTATGTTCATGGCCTCTTCTTTAAAATGATATCAAATTCAATATAGGTATGGGGATTACTTTTAATATGAAAATTTCAAATTGAGTGCTGCGCGTATCCTCAGTGTCTCACGCACAATGAAGAGAACTGTGAGATGCATTTTGTGACGTGTGTCCAAAATGTATTAATTCTGAGATACATGAGAAAAATCTTTTAAGAAGCCAAAAGGATCATGGGTACACAAAAAAGTGTTGAAGAAATCTGGACATCTTACGATCGAGATTACAAAACCATGCAACTCTACAACTTACAAGGCAAATTACTGAAATCAATTAAAACCGAAACAGGGACTTGTGTGCGTGACATAGAGGTAACAAAGAGTGGTAGTAGTGATCTAGTATATACTGAACCTGATACAAAAATTGTCAACATAGTGAAGAATACATGATCAGACTACAGGGGTGGACTCTTCCCTATGTGTGGAGGTGTGCATTATCTTCATAGTGCGTTAGACACTGAGGGTATGCGAATTCGGATATTGACTTCCGAGAACGCATCTCACAGACAGATGTGTTCTACCCGACAGCCCATACACAGTTTCATGAAGCAGAAGGTACAGTACAGTTGTACAACTCTGTCTTTGCAGCGGTCACTTTTGCAGATGTCCTGGGTACGAGCTCTGGGATCTATTTCACCAACGTCTTGAAATTGCCGTAAGATTTTATTATCATAAAAAAATTGATCATAAGATGGAAAAAGCATACGCGTACGTATAAGCATTAAAAGAGAATAGGATTTGAATTTTAACTGCCTTTGTATCTCTATTTTCAACTGAGTGTCAAACTTAGTCTGAAATTTATATTTGGAGATAAAACAATTAAATCATGACTTTTCTATCAAAGAGTAAGCTATGTTTTATCACAGAATGAGTAAACACTTTGATGTCACACTTCTACCTTTTTATCTGTTTCTGTAAAAAAAAAAGCTATAAGATTACATGTAGCTCAGTAAAGCTAAGGTGTTGGCCTTGAAAATTGTAAATGTATTTTGTTGTAGTGTTTTTACTATTCAGTTTCACAAAAACAAGATCGTAAGATAATTGTACACTAAAATCCATAAATTGAATTGTCATAGAAATTAGAAGTCAAAAGTTCAAAGTAAATGAATTAAAGCTTCACTAGCTAAACTAATATAAAACAAAACAGTTAAAATCTTGACTGTGTTAAATCTCACCTTAGTCTTCTTTCAATTCTTCTGCAACCTTTATCTTTTTGCATTGTTGGAACTCCTTTCCTGCAGGTACTTTTGTGTTGTTCTTATCAAACACAAAAATGAGACTACAATGTAGAAAGCATCTTAATAGATTAGCAATTTATTCTAGACTAAAGTTTACAAAAATGTACAGAGTATTAAAGCTTGCCGTGAAATACGATCTTCCTGGGATAGATATATATGTTACAGTAAATATGTGAAATCAGGAATTTCATGTATTTCCTAAACCATTCAGTAAATACATGTATTTACTGGCCGTCTTAGGAAATACGTGTAATTACTGAATAACTAGGAAATTCATGTATTTACATAAAATTTCAGCCAAGTTTACACGTTTTTACTGAACTAAGCTGGATGACTCTGCATATCCTTAAAAAATATAAAAAGGAAAACAAAATTGATATGTTTATGCTTGTTCTAAAGCATTGTCTCTACAAAGCTGACGTTATCCATTACTTATGGATACTCAGCGCATTCGTTTTTCTAAAATTCCATTTAAGGATCTTGCTATATCCTCTTGTGATATCGATGTTAAAGTTTTTTTACAGAAACTTTGATAAATTTCAATTCATACCTAATATAAAAAATCTTTTGGGAGAATATTATTCAGGTGTGAAGCTTTTAACACCAGACTGGTGCATTAAAACTAGTTTTTAACATAATTTTTATCATGGAATTTCATTAAAAAAAATGTACGATTTTTAAATGGTGATATATACGGTACTTCTCTTTGTTCGAGTCTTGCATCTCTCTAAAATTATTGTAACATAGATATGCAAAAATCAAATTAACCATTTGTAGAATTTTTGCCATGTAAATGAGGGATCATTAAACTCATTTGCATAGAGTGGACCACTGTTGAATGCTCCTTTATATTCTTTGCAGTTGACCGCTAGTTGAATACTCCTCTTTTCCTTTACAGTTCACCGCTAGTTGATTACTCCTCTATTACCTTTGCAGTTGATCGCTAGTTGACTTTATTCACTTAACCACTCTTACACTCAGCCCCAAAGAGGTTGTCTCTGGTGTCTACACACAAATTGCATGGACAGTATAAATAAGTGTTACAGTTATCAATTTTTCGGAGAAACTATCTGTCCTGATCTAGGATGTTGATACAGCTGTTGGTAAAGTCTGCTGTCAGGATCTGACTCTGGCTGTCTGTTGTGATACAAGCTGGGTTGAATGATCCTTTAGTTGTAGAAGGATTGTCAGGGTATCTAAATCGGGGTTGTGTTGCCTGATTAACCACTACGACTGCATGGACTTCATAGTCAGCCACACAAATATCAAGGTTCTTAATTGTTTTCATTGATAAATTTAAGATCGGATGAATACAGAGGTTGATCTTGACTGTCAAACTGAAAGGTATATTTCTCTATAAATCCAGAGTAACGGACAACTTTTGATTGGGTATAATCATCACTGTCCATGGTAACCAGGAGGTCACCAGAGGAGGTTTTTACAGACATTGTTAGGTATCCAACCCTGAAGTCTGATCATCTCCTGTATCTGTTTATTCTTCACTATATTTACAGTACTTGTATCAATATAAATTAAATCTCTACACTTTGTCACTCCAATGTCATTTGGGCTTTTTCCAGACTTGATTTGCCTTCACTAGTTTTCCCTGGAGGTTGTAGAGTTTCATTATTTTATCTTCTCCATGTGTCTAGATTTCTTCATCGAAATTCTTCGTCACTGAGACAGGTAACACTGGTTAGATATTAATACCCAGTGTCTATGGTGGTAATGAGCTCTTGTTTATCAAGCAGTGGTTTTATTTGAGAACGGGGAAAAAAGCTACTGGTGTCTTCATTTTGTAACCAAGATCTTCTGTTGCAATGGATAATGGTGATACATGACCAAATAACTGTGAGCATTTCCCTTGGTCATGATTGTCAGTAAACACAAGAAAATCAAATTTTTAGTTTTGTTGGAGGTTTAGTGAAATTTTCTGATTTTTTCTCATAATAATGTGGTTTACTTCCTTCATTGGATTGTAGAATTTCCTCAATTTCTAATATACACTGTTTCATGTCAGCAACGTCTCTCATTATATCTGTGAGATGTTTCTTTAGGGTATATATGTGTTGGTGTCTCATCTTATTGATTTCTTTCTTGTTTTTCTCTATAACTTTGTCAATTTCTCTGCGCCATTCCTTTCCATATTTCGTGACTTCTGAAGTAATTTTCTCATATTTTCTCATATTTCTCATATGTCTGGTCGTCAAAAAATATTGTGGATCATGATTCAAATTCCAAAGTCTAAATAAATCTTAAACAGAAGCAACATCTTCGAATTTATTACATGCATATATGATATTTTACTTGAAAAAGACGTTAATGGTAACCCAAAAACCAAGCTATATGATAAACGTGACGACTTTAACCTTTTATATCGTCAACTTCCCTTACTTAATTATGCAGCAATATACCTTGATCATTTGCATAAGGAGTGTATATATCTCAGTTGATTCGGTACGCAAGAGCATGCTCCATGAATGAATAATTTCTAAAACGAGGTAAGTTATTGACAAACAAGTTGATGAAACAAGAATATCAGCAAACTTGTTTAAAGTCAAGTTCTATTGTCGATACAATGCCGTTGTCAGCAAATACAATTTATGATTAAGTCAATTGCTTACTGGTATTTTTTGTACTAATTGTTAGTCTATTATTTATAGACTGAATTGACGACGGATTTTTCTTTCATTTCCCGATTATGACAAGGAGCACATAGCGGGTGTGACCAGTCAGCAGGGGATGCTCACTCCTCCTTGGCACCTGATCCCACCTCCGTGTTTGCTCTGCTCCTGTTTTGTATTGTTTAATGGACTTTCGGTCTTGAATACTGTTTGTTATCTCCATATCCTTCATGTCACATAATCCAAGTTTAAAAATCAAGTACGAGCTATCTGCATGTATTTGTCTTAAGGTAAGGTTTGCGTTAACAGGGAGATAACTCTTGCGAATCACCAAAGCGTTTGAAACAGGCGACTTTAAACCAGCGATGCTAAGCATCTCGGTAACGAATTTCCTCTGTCATACTTGATGTTTGTTGTCACTTATTGTTAGGACTAAAAACAAAGGACGTTTTCAGAAGAAAGTCTTTTAACAAAACAAAGCATATGAATCTTAGAAGCATTTGAGATTAGCGTGATGCATGTGGATGAACCAATAAACTTATAAAGGAGGACTTGTTTACTTTCGATACGAAACATGGCAAGTTGCACGACCATTCCGATCAGAAGAAAGTCATTGACGCATTGTGCTGTTGTGTATTTCTCGCTTCACCACTACACTAAAATTTAAAGTGAGAATGGGAAAGAAAAAAGAAAAGACGTGAGACTCCTGTAAAGTATTATGCTATATGCAGTCCGAACAGGGAAGAAAAGTCACGATGCATTTTCAAGACCAAGTCCAATGATGATGTTGACAGTTTGATTGTTGACAGTATTTTCATCAGGTAATTATTTAACTATTCATTTTACTGAAAGTTATGAATGGTCTACTGACTACGGATTTAAAAACGATGAATAAACAGTACAAGGATGTCAGGATGAGACTAATATCTCAACATTACCGAAAAAAAATAAAAATGCATTCATTCAAGAAATTATGAAAAATAAAATCCTTGCTTTTTGGGCCTAATATTTGTAACATTATTGGAACAGGTATTAAATTGTTCAAGTTACCTTTTTAAATGAGGTTTGATTTAATCAATATCTCATTTTGTAATTAATAAAAAAGAGATACAGATTGTGCATGACAAGAACATTAATTTTCTTGATCAAGCATTTATAATTTTATAATAATTTCATATTGATTCTTTATTTATTATATTGGAAATTTATTCATTTCATTGAGTGAATGAAACTCAGTGTAATTCCTTTTGCATTTATTTAAATGTTTTTGTAAAAATGAACACATATGATTTCAGATCATGGGTCATTAATTGGAATGGATAAGAACCAAATAAAAAGTACTTCAGTGTTTCCATAAAAGATTTGTGCCATCAATCAAAGTAGAGGTCATCCCATATCAGCTCAAGAATATTAAAGAAAGTTAGATGGATCAAGCTAAGATGTTTAACAAGGCATGGCAAAATCAATGGAGATTTGGAGAAGAAATTCTGACTTGTTATACCCAATGCATATTTTTATATGTCTATAGATTATACAAGAAAATTTAACCATATATTTAGAAAATATGTGTGTGATGATTGCAGTACAAGGAAATTAATACATGAACAATTAATATTAATGATTTTATTCATTAAATTTTGTTCTTACCAGGACCTAATATGCTGAAATAAGTATTTCTGAAAACTGATGAGTTTTTACATACATGCAAAGCTGCAGTGAACATGTATAATTACATGTATATCTACTGTAACAGTTTAAACCATGACACTGGAAATTGTAAGGTTGTTAATTTAGTAGGAATGATAGAACCAGTTTAGTAATCTACTAAAATTAAAATCTTTCACAAATACATGTAGTTTATTTAAAATTTTAACATTTATAATCTTTTAATTTTTTCTGTATTTTGATTTTAAAAAGGTGAAAATATTGTTATATTTAAAAAAATTAAATTATTATGTCATGGATATCAAGGAGATATACATATATCTATTACTGTAGCATTGTTTTTTCTTCCCTGTTCTTGACAAATATTTATGACAGTGTTATATCATTTTGCAGAATCTTTGGTTTCAGAAGTACTCTGTAAACTCATTAAAGTATGATTGATGTCACTTAGAATTCATCTTTATTTTGTTCTGTCTGATATTCCAATTTAGATTCTCAGACTACCTAATCCAATGATTGAGCTAATGTCCATGAAGTGTAGAAATACCAGAGTCTCCAAACTGACTGACTAAAATGACCATACTGAAAATTGTTTTTCAATGCAGAGCTGTATTTTTTTTCCTTTTATTCCTCTAATCCCCCTTAAAAAAAATGTTGTTGAGGATTTTCTCACCTACCGATCCCAAAATTTTACCTTGAGTCAAGAGACTGGGCAAACCAACATTACTTTAAAGATAGCATTTCTAGAAATCATTTAATTATAAAACAGCAGCTTCGTGGATGCGATGCTTACAACGTTTCACTCAAAAAATGGCATACATATATAATGACAGTCACCAGCCATAACTGAATAAAGATATTTGGCTACAAAGATGTCTAGAAGTTACTACATGTTGGAATAACTAAATCAGCATGAGGTCAATTTCATAGGATTTTAATTGGTTTAGTTGAAACATGTTCTGAAGTATGTTTATATACATATACATGAACTTCTAAAGGTGTTGCAGTATAATTCATGGACAATTTCATAAGAATATTCAGATGTAAAGATAGCCATAAATACTAGATTTCTTCCATGGAATAAATTTTTAGACCATAACGTATATACATGAACTTCTAAAGGTGTTGCAGTATAATTCATGGACAATTTCATAAGTATATTCAGATGTAAAGATAGCCATAAATACTAGAGTTCTTCCATGGAATAAATTTTTAGACCATCATGTAGGAGTTTAATTTTGAATATTTTTGGCCAATTTATGCCTAAAAACAATATCAAAAATAACGTATAGTATTTAACATTCACCATGACAAGGTGATATCAATGTTGCCTTTAAAAGTGTAGAAAAGGCCTGATTTTTATGTTCCGAACCCATAATATAGCCCCTGTTTCCATGGAAATAATATTGGGGACATACATATTTTTTTAGTTCAAATTAATGAAAATGATCAAATAAATAACTTCATGGATTTTGATGAAATCGGAAGATATATAAAACGTTGATTTTTATATTTTTGTTACCATGGCAACGGTTTCACTTTATCAAGGAAAATTGTAAAAACTTCTTTTTTACCCAAATTTTCACATTTTTGATAACGGAAAATTAAAATTTTAAATAATATAAGCATTAATTATACTAATACAGGTCATTTTAATTATAAAAGTTTGATAATTAACAAAATAAATCATTTTTTTCAATGAAAATAATATTCGAGGTGAAATATGAAATATGTTAAAATTTGGCGTCTTTTACTAAAAAAATGGGACGGGCAATATCTTTGAAAATCATATTAAATTATGAAGCTAATCTTCCTGAATAAATTGATATATGGCATGTGTGCATATTAAAAAAAATAAAAGTTGGAGGGAGACGCAAACCTTACCTTAAATCTCCCTGTATTTAGGGCATCAATTATGAAAAGATCTATATTTAAGGCATCTGTTTGGGCCCCCGATTTGTAGTTTCAACAGCAGATATGGAGGTTGATCTCTGTAGTTTTTTTCCATATTTTATTATTATAAATACTATATGTCATGAATACGGCATCACAAACACTAAAATGTTTTGACTTTGCTTGTTTATATAAGACATACAATTTTTGTAGGATAAATACTATATGTCATGAATATGGCATCTCAAACACTGAAATGTTTTGACTTTGCTTGTTTGTATGACATCTAGTTTTTGTAGGATATCTGCATACATGTATTCCCTTCTCAGATAGGTGTATACTGAGTATTTTGGAGGTTTACTCAGCAAATATTCACTCTTTATTTTTAATAATCCATGATTTTGATTGTAATTGTGTTTTGTGGAATTTGGAAAACTTAATTTAGGATGAGATCCAAGGACAAGTAAATATTCGCATGTTTTTCATTGTATTTATGTTGCCTTGGCTTGAACATTTATACAATATTTGGAAGATCATTACATTGCAGAGTGCAGATGGAATTTCAACGAGTTTATTCATTGTATGCTGAGAGCTAATTTACAAATGAAAAATAGAAAGATGCATGCAGTTACAAAACTTTAATCTTGACTTAAATTTTGTACATGTAACCTGACTCTCTATCTATTCGTTAATTAACATGAACTTAACATTTTATATAGTCATTAACAACAATGTTAATTCCACATACGAGGGTTGTCCCATAAAATCGTGGACAAAGCGTTTTTTTCAAAAAGTAATGGGCACACGAAGCTGAAATTTTCAGTAAATGTTTATTCATCATATTTAAGTGAATCATAATGTTTTTTATAATATATATTCAAAAATAAAGATTTTATTCTGCTTGAATGTGCACAAGGTATTGTCCTACGGCGCACGGTAAAAATTGCAAGGTTATATTAAAGAAGACATAAGAATTAATTCGTAATAAAAGTTTTCAATACATA